GTTAGATATATATATATATATATATATATATCTCATCATAATTTAAAATATTATCTTTCTACATATTTTTATATTTGCTTTAATATTTTTAATCACTTTTTTATTTGAATATATTATAGATTATTTATTTCAATATTTTTTATCTTCCTATCTCTTTAAATATTTCATTTTCATATTTATTTCCATGTCTTTTAAAAGGTTATTAATAGTTAAAAATAATTTTGTATAATAAAAATTATTTTTCATAAATCCAAAATAAAATATATAACTTCAGAATTGTTTATTTATTATAATTATAATTATAATATAATATATAAGTAAAAAATTATAAATTTAGTTATATAATATAAATAATTATCCTGCATATTATAAATGCTAGTTGTGTTTACAACGTGCTTTTCACTATTTTTTGACAAAAAAACATGCGTTAACATTTTTAAAATTCCGTTTGAAAGGATATTTAATCGGAAGTATTAATAAATTCATCATAACTTGTATTTTTTAACTAAATTATTTAAAATTTGAATTTGGTTAATACTATGGTTATAAAATAAAAAAAAAAACTGATCTATTTCAATAAAAAAAATTGAAAACAATAAAGAAAAAAATTGAAATCGAATAAGCTGAACAGTAAAAAAAAAACACTGAAAATTCACGAAACGTTGATTGATTTAGATTTCAGATTTAATTTTAAAATCCAATTCCATTCTAAAAAGGATATTTAAGTCATCTCTATGTAATAACAAATATAGTTTATTAGCTGAGTTGGAATAATTTTTACACTAATTAGTTAATTTGACTATTATCTCTTTCTGTATATATATTCTCGTTGTATTATGTTTGAGAACAACAACAAATTACATTAGTTAGTTAGTTTGACTCTCTACCTCCAGTCGAAAAGTAATAACTTGCAAATGGATATTCAAGAATAAGTATAAAACAGATGACTCCATTCTCAAACACAAAGCCAAATTAATTAGTGGCTAGAGATTTCAATTAACAGCAGGGGCTGGATTATATATACATAAACTTTTAGTCCTGTCATCAAACCCATCAGCATCAGAGAGGTTCTTACTCTTGCAGTCTCAAAAGGCTGGCTAATCCACCAAATTGATGTGGATAATGCCTTCTCTATGGTGATCTAAAGGAAGAAATATACATGCAGCAGCCACAAGGATTTCACAAAGGGAATTTAGATACTATTTGCAAATTAAGAAAAGCAATCTATGGTCTCAAACAAGCTTCACGATCTTGGTTTCATAAACTTACTATCACCTTACTTCGGTTGGGTTTTCAACAAGCTAGATCATATCACTCTTTGTTTATCTTTACTTCTAGAACCACTGCCATATACATTCTCATATATGTTGATGATATAATCATCACCAACAATTCTTCTATTTCCATACAAAATATGATTCAAACTCTTCATAAATCCTTTCCTCTCAAAGATCTTGACAAACTTCATCATTTCCTATAGGAATATAAGTTAACCCCGATAATGCAGGAGGCATTCATCTTTCTCAAACCAAGTATCTAACAGATATACTTGACAAACTCAACATGTCTAATGCCAAACCTATCGAAACTCCAATGACACCTTCCTCAAAACTCACAAATGATGGCACTACAGTCTGTTAGGATCCTAGTCTTTATAGGTCAGTAATTGGAGCTCTACAGTATCTCACAATTACTATACCAGACATTGCTTACACAGTAAATAAGTTGTGTCAATTCATACACCATCCTTTTGAGATTCATTGGAAAGCAACAAAGAGGCTACTAAGATATTTTAAAAGTACTTCTCAACATGCTTTACACTATAAGAAATCCAGTGATATTGAAATTCTTGCTTACTGTGATTCAGATTGGGCAAGTGATCAAGAAGACATGAGATCAACATCTGGGAATTGTGTGTATCTCGGATACACTCGTATCTTGGATGGCAAAGAAACAAAGAGTTGTATCTAGATCTAGCATAGAGGTAGAATTCAGAAGTTTGAGAAGTCTGGTTGCAGAAATTCAATACATTTAGAATCTCCTTTTCGAACTTCATATCAGGAGTAAACAACTACCTCTGATTTGGTGTGATAATCAAGGGATCATTCTTCTATCTGCCAATCCAGTCATGCATATTAAAACAAAACACTTGGAATTAGATTTATGGTTTGTGAGAGAAAGAGTGGCTCGGGGACAAGTTCAAGTTCGTCATATTTTAACAATATTTAAAGTTGCAGATCTTTTAACTAAGTCTCCAAATTCTGTTATATTCCTAGATCTAAGAGACAAACTCACTGTTGATAAACAATTCACACTAAGTTTGAAGAGGGATAAAAATGATATTAAGTCATCTCTCTATAATAACAGATATAGTTTGTTAGCTGAGTTAGAATAGTTTTCACATTAGTTAGTTAATTTAACTGTTATCTCTTTATATATATATATACATATATATATATTCTCTTGCTGTATTATGTTTGAGAACAACAAGTCAACAACAAATTAATATTTTTTTATTCTATTCTTCATTCTCTTTGGTTGTTCTCTCACACATTCAAACAGGAATTATACATACTATGTATTTTTATTCTTTATAAAAAATTATTATTTATCTACATGACAATTTATATGTGATATAATTACTATAAAATTAATGTAATTAATTATTATTTATTAGATATTATTTTTTTATCAGTAAAAATTATAATTTATATATTATTTAAGGTAACATATCATTATTATCATTATAATACATATTTACAGTAAGTTATTATAAAATCATGATAATAAATTAAAAAGGTTATAATTATAAAAATCAAAATTTACTTAGGATTTAATTAGAATCAGAGAGGAAAAAAGTATTTTGTGTTTCTCTATTTAAAAATAAAAAAATAAGTGACTACTTAAATGGTGAGAAGTTTGAAAATTAAATGTGTGGTTGAAGTAAAAAAAAAAATAATAATAGAAAAAATGGTTTAAAAATAATTATAAAAATAAATTAATTCAAAATTCATGTACACCGAAAACGGATATCTCTTTTTTTATTAGTAGTATAAAAATATAGATATACACTTGTTATAAACGTCATTTTATTGCTATAACTAATAGTATATTTGTAAAATTAAGATATAAAATTTAGGTGTAAAAAGAATAAATACAAAAACCCACTCCTTTCTCTGCATATAAATATATAAATATAAATTAGAATAATTTTTTATTTGTATATATTTTATTGTGCTTACTCCTTCACAATATTACTCATTTGAATAGTCTTTTCTTACTAAAAGTGAATCTCACTCTTCTATCATCCAACTCATTTTTTTTAATGTTTAATGAACGATCTATTCTCTAATAAACAATAATTGAATATAAAAAAATAAATACATATTTTATCTTCTTTTTTTTTTCAACAATATATATTATTTTATCTTTAAAATTTAAATATTATGCCTATGAATCTTTTTATATTTATTTCAATATCTTTAACAACTTATCCTTTTTAATATATAATTTTTTTAAACTCTTTATCTTTTTAAATATATTATTTTCATATCTATTTTAACATTTTTGTAAAAAGTTATCAATAATTAAAAATAGTTATCACAATATAATTATTTATTATAAATTTAAAATATAATTTATATATTCAAAACCTATAAATTAAAAACATGCGGCCTTCCCAAACACAAAACACTGCGTAGCACAAGCACAGGTATGAATTCCTTCTCAAATCATTATTGGTTGCATTACACTACCAACTCTCCCTTCATATCAGTTTATACATTATTTGGGAATTTGGGTTTCAATTTTTATGTAAATTTGTTATCTTTTTTGTGTCACTAGTCTTTCTCACGAGTGAAATTTTATTTGATGTTAGGTATAGTACTGCAAGTATCCTTGATGATGTTATTATATTAGAGTTGGAGTTTATCTATGTATATTACATAGGTTTATAGTAAATATAAATACAAGTTGTCGAGATTAAATTCTAATTCTGATTAAACATTGGTATCATTAGTATTCATGATACTGTAGCTAAATTTCACCGGGCTGAAATTATAGACTTGAAGGTTGCAGAGAAAATATGTTTGTGACAATGATGAGATGAAGTGATATAAGTGCACGTTTTGATGCACTTTTTTTTTCTCGTATAAGAAATTGAGTTTTTTTAATTGATAACAAAACTGTACAGTCATGCATTAAAAAAGAGAGTCATGCACGTTTTGCAGTTGTTTGTTTGAAGGGTTTGACATAATTGTGGAGATTAGCAGAAATAGTTAAGTGGCATGCTACATGTGTTCGCATCTAGGGTTTGCTACTACTGTTTACCAGATACCACCTGAACTTGGGCCAAACCCAAGTAAAACCCTAAACCAAAAAATAATATAACACCAAATATTGAGTTTGTCAGGGTTTCAATTTTAAGATATGAGGTGTATATTATATTGCTTGCTTGAATTAATTTTCATATAAAGCATAACTATTTTATCTTGTTTTTCTTTGTAGATCTTCTGTTTGATTGCTTGGATCAAAATCATTCTCAATAATGGCAACTAGTAAGTAAAAATATATGTTTTTTCTTATTTGTTTAATCTATATCTTTTACCGTGATACTAGTGATCTTAGTTGGTGATTTGTGCATCTGTTACTAATTTAGAAGTTCGGATAAGAACAATGATAGTATTTCAACACCTTTTATTTATAAAGATCTCATCAATATTTATTAATTCTCTCTCTATCTCTTATTTCTTATCAAATTATATTTATTTTATTTTTATTTCTTTTATAGATGTCATATAGGTTATTGGGTGTCTAACAATATTTTTGTTTGAATTATATGCAAAAAGTTTTGGGCAGGAACGCGAGTAAGCTATGAAGTTTTTGGTTAGTTCTGTAGAATTGATTTTTGTTAAAAGATAGACTTGTTTAGGTTGATAGTTTGTTAACGAATTTATTATCTCATAATTTTGAGTTGGATGTTTGTCTAAAGGGTGTTAAAATTTTGAAGAGTGAATAGTTATTTTGGTTTAGAAAATCTAAGACTTGATAAATCAAATTCTGAATTGGAAAGTCATTAAACTGTTAATTTTGTACTATTAATTTTAGATTAAGTAGTTGTATATGTTATGGTGTATAGGTTGTGTAACAAACTGCAGAAAAGAAAAAGGTTGTGTAACAAACTTGAAAAATGTAACTAAAATATTATGCTGTTATTTTTTAAGATAAAATAATTTGTTACGGAAATATTTTATGTTTGTTGATTTTCGCACTTTGTTCGATTCAAATTTCAAGTCGAAACACCTAATTTTTAGTAAGAGAAAGTATTATTTAATTAAAAATATTTGTAAGAGAAATTTTAATTAGATAGGAATTTATGACTTCTAATTTGTGTAAACTTTAAAGTTGGAATAACATTCTAAACAGACAAACAGACAGCCTAAGATTGCATTTTACTTGGGTCGACATAGTTATTTTCAATAATGGCAACTAGTAAGGGAAAATATATGTTTCTCTCATCTGTTTAATCTATACTTTTACTAGGGCTGTTCAAAAAATTATATTAAACTAAATTATTGTAAAAATTAAATTAAACTAAACTATAAAAAACTAATTAAACTAATTTTTATAAAAATAAAACAAAACTATATTTGAAGTTTAGTTTTAAAAACAAAACTATTATAAAAAGTAATTTAGTGTACTTTAACTATTAAAAAAACTTATAATTAAGAAATTTTCTAAATAATTAATTAGAACTAAACTAATAAATAATTAAATTGAATTAAAATAGAAAAAATTAAATTATTTTTATAAAAATTGAACTAAAATGATTTTTATGTTCGGTTTTATAAATCTAAAATTATTTTTTAAATAGTAGTTTGTTAAACCAAACTATTAATAAAATTGAATTCTTATTATTAATATTTTTTTCATAGTTTTTCAATTTTGCCTATTGCCCACTTTTGAGTCGGTATACTAGTGGTTTAGTACTATTATACATAACTACACATTTTTTTTATTCATTTATAGGAATAAAAGAAAAAATTAGTTTTCATTTATTAATTGAATAAAAATTTATATACCTTTCGTAATTATTACTCTTTCAATATTTTTAATATAATTATTATAAAAATAAAAAAAATGTATTATATATGTATGTACAAACTTCTCTCTTTATTATCCAAATAATTTTATTTTTTATGCTAAAAAATATTATTATTTTAATAAAAAAATTATAATATTAATTAATTGAGTTTACAACATTATAAAAGTAACGGTATACATTTTTATAATATTTTTTAAAACTCATACTATTTTGTAAATAACATATTAACTTAAAAAGATAGTTACATGTAATATTTAGATATTGTTTTTAAACTTTTTTATTTATTGGTAAAGATAGGAAAGATTACAAAGATGGTTGCAGTGAGAATTGAACCTAGGTCCTCATGCTTCTAACTACCCCAACCCCTCCCCACCCAAACTTTTTTATTTAATAATTAATAATATCAGTTAATTGATTAAAAATTAATAAGATTTGGTTGATTTTCAAAAAATATGAATGAAAAATCTATCATGTGGACTTTTTTTTATCAATATTATACTTATTTTACATTTCAAACTATTTTAAATTTAATTCATAATTAATATCAATGATTTGGTAGCTCAATTTAAAAATGTTGATTTTAAATTTATTTTTTTTAATGTAGTTCAATTTAGTTTATAGTTAATAATAGTTTAATTTAGTTGATATTATAATTTAGTTCAAACTCTTAAAACTATAGTGCACTAAACTAGATAATAATTTAGTTTAGTTTTCTTTTAGTTTAGTTCAATTTAGCAATTTGGACACCCCTACCTTTTTACCAAGTCTTTTCATATATGTATACTATTTGTTACTTTATAGTCTTCTTTGATGGGAATTTTTTTGAATTTTTAAATTAATGTATATGGATTTCTTGTAGGACTTCAATTTGAAAATAATTGTGAAGTTGGAGGCTTCAGTAAACTTACTAATGCCTACTGTTTGGTCCCCATTGGAGGTTCTGAGAACTTCTACAGGTTATTATTATATATGTATTTGGTTTCAAATGGATTGAAAATGTTCTATAAAGGAATGAATGAATTAATATGTTCATATGTTGGTTGATAGTGTATTTGAAGCTGCATTAGCAGATGTTATCCCTGTGGTCAAGACATCCATTGCTGGTATTCGTACTCTTGGTTATCAATGTGCTGGTAAAATTTTTCTTATGCTCATTTATTCTCTTGGTTACTCATGGAGTATTACTTCATCATATTCCTATATATTTAACTATTTTCTTTTTATTTTTAATTAAGATCAGTTTCTTCTTTTTATTTATTGTTGTTTTATTGGACTTGATTAATTTACTTTTCTATTGGTTTGCAGGAAACAAGAATGGGCTTCTTGTGCCCCATACCACCACAGACCAAGGTGTTTTTTTTATATATTTGTTATATGATTATTTTGATTCTTAGTATTTTCTGGTGCTATTTTAATATCACGTGCAATGGACTGTTAAAACAACTTTGCCCGCAAGCATTGATTATGAATTCTGTTTATTTGTTTGCAAGCATTTTATCTTTGTCAATTATCAACACTCTAGTCTCTAGGATATTCAACATTTTTTGCTTTGTTTCGATTAGTTTTTATTTGTCTTCATTTGTACAATTTCTCTATGTTGAGGCCTTAGGATTGGATTTCTGAATTATGGTAGTATATATTTTTTCCTCATGTTTTATGCACCATTTTTTAGGTGGTATATAGTTCCACAATAGTTATGATACTGATTTATGGTACTTGATCTTGTTGCAGAACTTCAACATTTGAGGAATAGTCTACCTGATCAAGTTGTTGTTCAGAGAATAGAAGAAAGATTATGTGCTCTGGGAAATTGTATAGCATGTAATGATCATGTGGCCCTTGCACACACTGATCTTGATGCGGTATTGTCTATATAGATTTTTTTTTGTGACTATTCATCTTTTGAATTTAACATATAAATCATGGTTTGCAAGCACTAGTATTCAATGTTTTAATTTTTTTTTCATTCAGGAGACTGAGGAGATTATTGCAGATGTTCTTGGAGTAGAAGTTTTCAGGCAAACCATTGCTGGTAATATTCTTGTTGGTAGCTACTGTGCCTTCTCTAATAGAGGTGGTTTGGTGAGTAAAATATATTTTCTCCTTAAAATTCATTAGGACATCTATGCTATTTTTTAACCATGCACTTAATGTAGGTCCACCCTCATACTTCCATAGAAGACTTGGATGAACTTTCTACACTTCTTCAAGTTCCTTTAGTGGCTGGGACTGTGAACAGGGGTAGTGAAGTAATAGCTTCAGGAATGTCTGTTAATGATTGGATAGCATTTTGTGGTTCAGACACCACAGCGACAGAGCTATCTGTGATTGAGAGTGTTTTCAAACTCAGAGAAGCACAACCTAGTGCCATTGTAGATGAGATGAGGAAATCCCTCATTGATATCTATGTTTGAGTTGTTGTGACTAGTGTATTGTTTCATATTGCACTATGTTAAGATCTTCTGAGTTATGGTGCTGGTTTGTTTTTATTTTTATTTTTATAATATGTGAATATTGAGTAGTTTAGCCTTTGCCATTCTTTTAGGAGAGATTAATATCACACAAAACTCACTTTCTATATATATATATATATATATATATATTTAAAACTCAT